CCGCCGCCGCCGCCGCCGCCGCCGCCGCCGCCACCACCCGGCAGCCAGGGTTTTTATTAATGTTTTTACTGGGTTCTTCTAAATGCATTTGTACTAAGTACATTTCATACCATGACTTTGAACACATTCACCTCCTGCGCGCCCTCAACTCCCTCAGTTCCAGCCCTTCTCCCTCCACCCCCAACTTCATGTCTTCTTTTTCCCATAACCTACTGATTCCAAGTCCTGCTCTCCGCATCTGAGTCCGGGGCCATCCACGGGAGTGGAGTTGGCCTACCGATTGTCAAACCCTTGAAGACAATTGACCCTTCCTCCCCTAGAAGCTATCAGCTGTCCATGGCACCTCAGTTAGGGATGAAGGCTCGAGAGTCCTCCCTGCGCCACACTAGAATGTCAGCTGGCTTGAGCTAAGCACCTTAAATAGAGAATTACAAATCGGTTAAAAGAAAAAGATTTTAAAAAGGTATAGCATGTAAACATCAAAAGACGAGTGAAATGACCATTGTGTGTGTGTGTGTGTGTGTGTGTGTGTGTGTGTGTGTATGTGTGTGTGTGTAAAATTAGGTTTCAGAACAAGGAGTGTTACCGGGGATGAAAAGGGGCACCATGTGACGATAAAGATTCCATGACTCCAATTCTGTGCCCACATAACACAATGGTCTTCAAATACAGAAAACAGGATTTGGTAAACTAAACATAAATTCACAGTTGTGTAGTTGGGGACTTTAATATTACTCTTGCAGTAACCAATGGAACAAGCACAAATAATGGGTAGTGAAGAGCTGACCAACACTAACAGTCAGCAGTTAGAGGTCACTCTAGTCCCATACAACAAAATATATATGACTTTCTTATGCAAGCACAACATTTGCTATGTAGACAATACAGCATGTTTAGAATAACCCCATATAAAACAGTTCTTTTCTCATAACAGAATTAAATAGAATCCAATAATAAAACAGATACCTGAAAACTCACAAATATATGAAACCAGAACAAAACAATTCTGAATTATCCATGAGTCAAAGGAAGAAAGAAGTAAAGTCATAAAATATGTTGAACAGACCAGAGAGGATCCACATTCGTGAGATGTGAAGGTAAATTTATAATATTGTTTGCACCCAAAAGGAAGACAGATGTACCAGTGAGGTTACCTCCCATCTTAGTAACCTGGAGACAGAGTGCAAATTAACCCTGAACTGGTGGAGGAAACGGAAGAAGAATGAAACTGGGAAGAAAAGCTATAAAGAAAATACTGAAATCAAATGTTGGCATTTTGAAAAGATGAACAAAATCAATAAGCTGTAGTCAGATTCATTAAGAAGAGATAGGACAAAGACATAAATCACCCAATCAGGAATGAACAGGGCAGCGCCAAGGTCCTACAGTTAATTAAAAGAACAATTGGAACTGTTACCAACTTTATGCCATAAAACTAGCAACTTGGTGAAATAAAGACCGTGAAAAAGTTATCAAAGCTCCTTCCAACAATAAAGCTGAACAGTGTAAGTCACAGAAGCAAAACTTCCAACTTCAGGCCTAGATACCTTCGCTGGCAAGTCTACCCAAGGAAGGAAGGAAGAGGGCCAGTTCTAGCAAAGGACTTGAGGAAGCCGTTCCCAGCTCATTATGAAGCTGCCACTGACCTGAGACTCAAGCCTGTCATAGGCAGTACAAGAATCCAGCCAAATAGTTCTCACAAATACAAACACAAAATCCCATGGACAGGACAGGGCCAGAGAGATGGATCAGCTGGCAAAGGTTCTCGCCACCCAGCCTGGCAGAGTTCAATCCCTGTGACCCAGGGAAAGATTGGTAGAAAGGACTGACTCCACAGAGTTGTCCCCACCTCTGCATGTGCAGTGTGGCATGTGTACCCCTCCCCCAATACATATATCATATGTATCTAGAGTCAGCGGGACTTCTCAGGACCCTAACACTCTGGCCCTGAGGCAGCCATAGGGGTACTGTTGATGTCTGTGGCTCCTGTTACCACCAAGGACCCAGCGAATGCCCGTAGTCTAGGCTACCACCTGTGACCATGTTGGTGTTGGAGGGATGAGCCCCCATGGGGCCATGCCAATCTAAGAGGCCTGTGCTGCCACTTGGGACCATGGTGATGTCTGGGGCAGACTGCTGCTGGGTGCCATGTTTGGGTCCATGGCCCTGCTGTGGCCAGGGTATGAGTTGATGTCCATGGTTCCTGTTGCCATTGAGGGCCATGCAGAGACCCACAGTCTGGGTTGACACCTGGGGCCATGTTGATCCTTGATTGTCAAGCTGCCTCAGGGCCATGGTGTTATCCAGACCCACACTGCAGCTGAGGGCCATATCTGGGTCTCTGGCCCTACCACAACCAAAGTCTGGGTTGATGTCCATGACTCTTGTTACCACCAAAGGCTGAGCAGATGCCTAGGGTCTGGGCCACCACCTGATGACATGTTGGCATTATAGGGCCATGCCACCACTGGGGCCATGCTGATCTGGGCAAACTGCAATGCCAGCTAGGGCCACAATGACATCAGGGACCAAGCTGCTGACAAGGACCATGTCTGGGTCTGTGGTCTTAACTGCAGCCTGAGTCTGTGTTGATGTCAGTGGCTCATGTTGCCATCAAAGGCCACAATGGATGCCCAGGATCTGGGCTGCCACCTGTGGCCATGTTGGTGTCTGAGGTCCATGACACTGCTCATACAGACTTGAATGACATGCGGGCAGGAGCTGTGGCTGGGGCCAGGTCTGGGTCCCGGCCCCTGCTGCAGCCAGGGTTTGTATTAATGTCTGAGGCTCCTGTGGCCATCCAAGGCTGTGCAGATGCTTGGAATCTGGGCCCCCACCTGATGCCATGTGGGTGTTCTAGGCCCATGCTGCTGCTGGGTTCATTCTGATCTGAGTGGCCTGCACTGCCAGCGGGGGTCATGGTGTTATCTGGGCCTGAGCTGTCACCAAGGGCCATGTCTGGGTCTGTGGCCCTACTGCAGCCATGGTCTGTGTCAATGTCCATGGCTCCTGTTACCACTGAAAGCAGTGAGGATCGGGTTGCACAGAGTTGGTCCCACCCCCTCACCAACTGCAGCGCTTGGGAGAGCAGGCCCTGCACCTCACCTGGGCAGCACAGTAGAGATGGCCCTGTGAGTGGGGATGCAGGTGAGCTGGTCCTGAAGGCATGAGAATAGGAAAGCTGGCCCCACTGTCTGTCATGTGATAATGTAGGTCCGTCCTCCCCCACCCCCCGCCACCTACTGCAGGCCGGAAAAGCTGGTCCCTGGATCATAAGAGTGGGAGAGCTGACCCTGTCCCTCACCAGCAGCAGCACTTGAGAGAGAGAGGGTCCTGCACCTTGTCTGGGCAAAATAGAAAAGCTGGCCCTGGTGTGAGTGAGGGTGGCCAGACCTGAGGTCACGAGAGCAGGAGAACTGGCCGTGCTCCTTGCTGTCTGCTGCAGTGGGTGAGCTAGTCGGGGCAGTGCTGGAGAGCTTACCCTGGTGATGAGGAGGAGGAAAAGCTGGCGGGATGACCAATCCAGCTACCACCCAGGCCCAGAACCAGGACTGTGAGTTGGCCCACCCCAACATCTACTGAATCTGTGAACTGTGAGAGCATGTAAAGAGACCAGTCCTGCAGACCCAAAGCTGCAGGATCTCCACGACACAGGGCAACAGCAGGATATCCAGGAGGAGTCCCAGCGAGGGCCCAGCATGGATAGTGTAGCAGAAACCAGAGGCCTTGAACCAGACCAGTGACTCATTGTAGTAAACCCAAGTAAAGATGTTCAGACTCAAGGTTATACTGTGTGACTCACTGAGCCACATTACATCTTCCACACCGAGATTTTTTTCTTTTGTTTGTTTGTTTTGTTTTTTCAGTTTTACTTTTAAATTCTGTTTTGTTTGGGGGGGGGTGGATTGCAAGGGCAGAGGGCGGAAGCAAGTGGACGGGGAAATGAGTAGGGTTGAGATATATGATATGAAATCCACACAGAATTAACTTTTAAAAGTTTTAAAAAGAAGAATTGAAAAAAAAGTTAAATGAATTTTAGCCTGTGATTAAGACAATTTTCAGTGGTTTCTGAAATGGATCTAAACATACGTGTGCTGTTTTGTACTACATACTTAACGTTCAGTGGCCTTCTCAGCACTGACGTTTAAAAATCAGATATTAATCAACTCTGAAAAATGTTGAAGATGTTTGTGGTGGTTTGAAAGAGAATCCCCTTACACTCATATATTTGAATGCTTGTTTCTTAGTTGGTGAAACTATTTGGGAAGGATCAGGAGATGTGGCCTTGTTGAAGGAGTTGTGCCACTTGGGGTGGACTTGAGGTTTTAAAAGCCCATGCCATTTCTGGTTATCTCTGTCTCTCTGCCTTATGATTATTGTCTCGATGTGTAAGCTCTCAGCTACTGCTCCAGCACCACGCCTGCCTGCCTGCCGCCATGCTCCCCACCATCATGGTCACAGACTAACCCTCTGCAAATGTAAGCAAGCCCCCAAGTAAATGCTTTTTTTTAAGTTGCCTTGGTCATGGTGTCTCTTCACACCAGCCGAAAAGTAACTAAGACAATGCTCTACATCCTAAGTATCAGATATTCAGCTAATAGTTCTTATAAAAATAGACAAGCACACCCACCTCATTCATATGTAAATTTGCTTTCAAAATCTTTGCTAAATGGTAAAGGTATATGTATACCAAAGAATTGTCTTAAAATAAACTTGTTTATTATGAATTATCAGTAAATGTCTGGTCTGTATACATTTTTATTTTTGTTTTTTGTTTTTTCTATTTACCAAGTTACGTAAAATGTATTGGGTGAGAAGGGTCCATACAAAGAAATAGCTGAGGCAGTCTGGTCTATATTATCGATGTTTCACTTTTCTAGCTCTGTAATGTTAGTCTTGTTATAACTTGATAAGATTTAGAATTGTCGGGAGCTGGAGGGATGGCGCAGGGATTAAAAGCACTGGCTGCTCTTTCCAGAGGACCTGGGTTCAATTCCCAGCACCCACATGGCAGCTCACAACTGTCTGTAACTCCAGTTCCAGGGGATCTGATACCCTCACACAGATATACATGCAAGCAAAATGCTGATGCACATGAAATAAATAAATAATTTAAAAAAGATTTAGAATTGTCATGGACACAAATCTTTTGGTATACCTATTAGGGGTTATTCTAGATTAGATTAATTGAGGTGGGAAAACCCACCCAAAATGTGGATGGCAGCATTCCCTGGGCTGGAGACCCCAAATGAATAAAAAGGGGAACATGAGCTGAACATAAGCGTTTGTCTGTCTCTGCTCCCTGGGTGCAGATGAAGTTTAATAAGCTGCCTCGTGCATGTACCACCATTATTTCCTCACTGCGATGGGCTGTACCCCTGAACTGTGAGCTAAAACTTCCTCACTGTGATGGACTGTACCCCTTCACTGTGATGGACTGTACCCCCTCACTGTGATGGACTATACCCCTGAACTGTGAGCTAAACTTCCTCACTGTGAAGGACTGTACCCCAGAACTGTGAGAGAAAATAAATCCTTCCTTACGTTGCTTTTGCAACAAGAAAAATAACTGATGTAAACTCATTCATTGAAAAGTACCATTTCCACTTTGAAGATCAAGCTGGTGACAACAGGTAAGTTGGTTAACAGAAAACGGATTTTGTTTTGTTTGGTATGTTTATTCGCTTGGTTCCGGGTCTTGGCTGTGTCGCTCACACTGGCCTCAAACTGCTGATCATCTTGTGTCAGCCTTCCTAATGCTGGGATTAACTACCACACCCAATTGAAAAAAGGATTGTAACACAGAATAGTATTATTTAAATAAAAGACAAAAAAGAGTCTGTATAGAGGAGTGTTTGCTGATGCTTATGATTTTTAACCATTCATAGGTATTTGAAACTTCTGCAATTAACTTGATATGTCCTGTTTGGTTGATATCCAAGGGAAACCTGCTCTTTCCTGAACAGAAACATAGGAGTAGTGGACCAGGGTGCGAGACATAGGGGTGGGTGGGAGGGAGGGACTGAGAGGAGAGGATGGAGGAGAAACTGAGGCCAGGGCGTAAAATAAGCAAACAACTAAATAAAAAAGCTCTGCCATTATCTAACTAACACCTTCTGCCTTTGGTCATTTTTATCTTGCACGTCAGCTACATGTTTAAAGTGACATCAGTTGTCTTTTGTCAACTAAGTACATCCAGCCAAAGTGATTCTCACTTTAATTGATAAGTAAGATGAAAATAAGAAATTACCTTCAACTATATCTGTTTTGAGCGTAAAGCCCACTTTAGAAGTGGGGGTGTTGCAGCTGCCGAACTGTTGTCTAAACATTGTCCCCCACACTGTGCCTAATGGCTTTAGTCATGGTTCCCCAGTTGTTTCCTCCTCCTCCCTTCAGAGGGAGGACCCCACAGATGCTGTGTAAACCACCCTGGGAACATATTATTAGGCTGTCTCTATGACGAAGGTGTTCTTGAATTGTGCTGTAAAACTCACTCACAAATAAACCCATTAAACGTTGGCCTTCTCCTGTAGCTTCCCAGTCGTAGCTGCTCATCTAGATTAAGTATACATACCCCAGGTCAAGCTTTTGTGATTACAGCTGGAGACTGGCAATAGTGACTGATCTAAAAAAAAAAAAAAAAATGCATTTAATGTCAAAAAGAACCACCAGAAATATCCTTCAGCTCTTTTCCAATCTATACTTTCTTCTGGGATCACTTCTTTTAAATGAAGACGCCAAACTATCAACAACAAAGTAAAATTTAAAACTAATTAAGCCAAATTTTGACTTCCAGTATCTTCACTGTTTAAAGGAAGTAGACAGAAGAGAGAAGATCCGGAATTAAGCTTGAAGAATGGGTGGTTGAGTAGGAGGAAATGATATGTGCAAACAATAGCAGGCTGTTGGAATGTGCTGGAAAGAGCAGGTAGGTATAAGGAGCTGTAGAGAAAGCAGCCTACTGAGAGATACGGTTGCTTATCTGCAGTCCATGGAGACTCCCGTGATAGAGCAGGACCAGCTAGGATATAAAGGGCCTCGGGTGACGTGCAATAAGCTTGACCTTGTCACAAGGATTATTATTATATGTATATGTATATATTATATTATAGATCATCTGTTGTTCAAATCTAGATGGTCTTTTAATAAAAAACCCAGAGCCAACCTCACCTCGCCAACTCCTCAGCCAGTCCTGTTTCCGCAAATCCTCAGACTGAAGGCCTCTGAGTCCTCACCCAAAAGGGTCTCAGCTGAACTGCTTTAGTTCCTGTTTCCTCATGCCTTATCTACCTTTCTCCACACCTTATAGACCTTTCTCCGCCCTGCCATCACTTCCTGGGATTAAAGGCGTGTGTGTGTGTTTCCCAGTACTGGGATTAAAGGCATGTGCCACCACTGCCTGGCTCTGTTTCCAGTGTGGCCCTGAACTCACAGATCTCTGCCTCCCAAGTGATAGGATTAAGGGTGTGTGCCACCACTGTCTGGCCTCTGTGTCTAATTTAGTGGCTGGCTCTGTCCTCTGATCCTCAGGCAAGCTTTATTAGGATACACAATATATCGCCACAATTATCATGTATGTATGTATGTATGTATGTATGTATGTATGTATGTATGTATGTCACATGTGGTTGAGCAAGCCTATAATCCTAGCTCTTAGGAGGCTGAGACAGGAGATTACAAATTCAAGGCTGGTCTGGACTACATAGTGAAATCTTATTTCAACATTAAAAAAAGAAATGTGTTTATTCATCCATTCATTTGTGTGTATCAGTATGTGAGTATATGAGCACTTGTGTGTGGGCACTCACATGCCTGTGTCTACCTCTGACCCTGCCTATTCTTTTTGAGGTAAGTTCTCTCTCAGACTCTGCTCCCCTTGGAGTTTAAGTTATAGGCATATATGTGTGTGGTGCCCAGACTATTACATGGTGCTAGCATCAGAACCCTGGTTCTGGTGACCTCACAGCAAGGACTCTTAATGTACGAGCCATCTCTCTAGATTCTTGAAAGTTTTTATATTTATAGTGCATGTCTTTGAGATACAATTTAAAAGATACAAAATGGCTTCCATGAAACATAATTCTTCCTTTTGTAATTGCCTACTATATTGGTTTTCATTTTTACATGAAGGAAAAGGTCTAAGAATCCCAGAAATCCAGCCTGACTGGAAATCTATTGTGATTAGGCATTTTGGGTTGATGAAAGGTTAGAAAATTGAAAAATTAGAAAACCTAGGAATAGTCCATGCATATTTGAACACTTGAGCTATGACAAAATGGTGTTGCTGAGGCTCGTAGAAAGAAAATGAACGCTGTCTTGTGCTATGTAAAATCAATTTTTAAGGCAAAGATTTAAAACCCAGGGGAAAAGGAGTATTTTGTGGCCACAAGAAAGAGGGAACCCTTAAACAGGTTACAAAAGACACTGATCATAAGAAGAGGTTATATCACAGTGAAGATGCCTCTTCAGTAAAAGAAAACATATCAAATGAGCAGTCAGGACACAGCCGATATGGAACTGGGTATTTGGAATAATCCAAGTACTCTCATAAAGCAATAGAAGAAAAAAAATTATTTTAACTGAAAACTAGCTAATAGCGAACAGCACATCATAGAGGGAAAAAACGTGAACAGATAGTAAACAAAAGAAAAACTCAAAACCAGTGAGATGCCCTTTTACACCTACTAGATGCTAAAAATTCAGAAATCTGAGCAAGGATGGGAAGAAATGTGACTTGCCGGGGTGCCGAAAGGACACTGGTATAATGCTACAGCCAGGTCCCTAACCGCTCTGCCCCTGGCACACCTGGAAAGGCTTATACATGTCACTCAAACACACATAATGTTTATGGCGGCACTGTTGGAAATAGCAAAGAGCTCCGGCAACCCAGCTGTCTGCTGCTATTGTTTGAACGCACGTGCTGTCCTCTTGTTTGGCTGGAGTTCCCTGCCCCACCAGGGCCCCTTGTGATAGTCTGGTCCACAGACAGTGGAGGTGGGGCCTTGTGGGAGGTCCATGGTCACTGGAGATGGATGTGCTTCAGAATGGAGTTCTTGTGAGGCTTCCTGGTGTTCTCCGGCCCAGTACGCCTGCTTCAGGATGCTCTCACCTGCTCACTCCTGCCTCTGCTGTCTCCTGGGATAGTATGCTGCTGACAAGAACTGAGCCCATGCAGGTGCCTTGCCCTCGAGTTTCCAAAACCCTGAGCTAAGTAAGCATTTCTCTTTGTAAGTTGTCTGTTTTGAGTATTTCACTGTAGTGATCAAAACCTGACTAACAGATGCTCCAAAACTCACATGTTGGCATCCTAACTCCCGGAGTGAAAGTATCAAGAGGCAGGGCTTCTGGGAGATGATTAAGTTCCAAGGACTCCGTGGGATTTGTGGAGAGATCCCAGAGAGTTAGCTCCTGCCCCCCACCATTGTGATGATCGCTGTCTGCAGTACAGTAGGGACCCTTGGCAGACAGCTTTATCTTGGACTTCAGCCTCTAATTCATAAGATTTGCATTTTATAGAGCATCTTAAATAGACTAAGACATCTGGTGACAGGAAAGTGGATAAATTCACCGTAAGAGTCACACCGAAAACTATACACCAGTGGTACTTTAAATTTTTACTTTACGTGTATGAGAGTTTTGTCTGCATATATGTCCATGTATCACATGGGTGCCTGATGCCTTCAGAGGCCAGAAAAGGACATCTGATCCCCTGAAACTGGAGTTACAA